TAACTACCCGCCTGGCATTTAGTTAAGGAGTTTCATCCCCTCCCTAATGACTTCAGGGAAAAATCCCTACCTGGGGAAACAACCTTTCTCAGAGAGGTGACCTTGGTTAAAACACACAGTGCTAAGGGGAGCAAACATATTAAGAACAGTATGCTATATACGCCAGGTCCCTTGAAACATATGCTGTGCAGATGTTTCTTTCCTGCAGCAACTGTGTCAAGCAGCAAGGATGGACCGGCTTCTGGCAGTATCCTGTGCAAATGGCTGCTCCAGCTTGGAACCTTCTTTTACTGGCTCAGCTTTACAAGTTTCCCCCAAAATGTCGAGTATTTTCTCATTTTCTGGCTCCAAGGATGGCTCTTCAATTTCCTGTAACATAGTGAAGTCAGATGATGAAGTATCTAAGTTATTTATAGTTTCTCTTTCCTCTAGAGCATGCTCTTGAAGTTGCCCAGGAAGCTCTTTCATTTCTCCCTCTAGCTCTCTACTATCAGACAGAGACTCTGGGAGATTATCAGCATCATCATCTTCCACACAATCTGCAACACTTCCATTATTGATTTCTGCTTCATCTAACACGTTGATATCCATCGTGTCAATGTCCTGCAAGTTCTCCAAACTGGCTTCAACATCCTCCTGTCCAGCCCCAGAATTTTCCTCCAGCCCATCATCTAACACACCTTCTTCTGGTTTACGTCCTTTGCTAGATCTTTTTGATGTCTTCTTGTTTCCTTCAGAGGTAATTTCAATTTCATCAGGATGACCCCCTTCATCTTCAATTGTCTTCTGAGGCTCTCCATCAGAATGCTCTTGTTGCCGCTGGAGTCCAGGTTCCGTTTCTTCAGCTCCGCCCGCAGATCGATCACCCGATCACCAGCAGGTCACTGAGGCGCTGTGTCCCGATCTCAGAGGAGGCGGAGCTCAGAGCCACAGCGCCTGCTGAATCGCCTAGGCCTGAGAGAGTCTCCGCCATTTCAGGGACTCGGGCTCCGCCACCCACTTCACACAGAACCGGGCCGGGGTTCTCTCAGGTCCTAGCACAAAATCTTTTTGTAGCATTTTAAAAGAATGTTCCGTATTCATTAATCTCAGGAGATTGTTCATGGCCAAATACATTTTTGAAAACTGTTGCCATTTTGGAGATTCATCATGTGCATTAAAATATTAAAGGTTCTGATAAGTCCTGAAATTAAATTTTTAAAATAATATTTAAATTTGTGTTATGCAGTATTTCTTAAACTTTTTAACTAGAGAATACTTGTTTATGCTACACATTAGTGGTCCTTGGAATTAGTGTAGTTTTCAGAATGAATTTTGGGAAATATTCATATTAGTTGATAGGAATATATGCCAGTTGAAAAAAAAAATCTTACAGCATTTTTAATTTGGATGGTTCCCTGAAGGTTAATATGTTCCACTTCCCATTCAATGTATGGATGACTATTACCTTTACTTTTCCCAGGAAGTGGGCATCCACTCCCTTACAAGGCTTCCTAATATATTTTGAATAATTTTACTTTTTAGTATCTTCTTTTTATGATTTCTACCCAGTGAACTAGTTTTTCTTCTAATATGACACATTATAAGCCTGTTTCCACATTACAGCCTTTTCCATATTTAAGGATAATAAAACAGCAATCTTATAATGACCCAATATGCCTCTTTCAAACATAAAAATTCTAAATTTCATCTGATAGTCAATATGACAGATTGTTTTTTAGTCTTCACTTTTTAGACTGACTTATTTTTTATATTCATTAGTTTGTGAATGATTTTTCCAAAATGTAGAAATTAGTGTTTTTTCATATGAGTTGCAAGATTTTTCCTACTTTCTTAATTTAGTTTAGATTTTAATATTCTTTGTAGACATGTTTAATTCTTATAGTCAAATTTCTCAAATCTTTTCATATGGTTTCTAGATTTTTATGTATGCTAAGAAAGATCTCCACAGCTCTAAGATCATTTAATTTCATTAATATTTTCTGTTAATTCTAATGATTCATTTCTTTAAATCTTTAACCCATGTAGAATTTATTTTTGTGAAGAAAAAGATATAAATTTTTTCCTTAGGTGATTAGTGAAATTGTTCAACATCATTAATTGAAGAATTTCTATTTTCCCATGATTTAAAACATCATCTTTGTTATAAACTACGTTCTCAAAGAAATTTAGATTTATTTCTGACCTTTAAAAATATTTTGCTCCATCCTATGCCATCTATAGTATATTTTTAATTATTACATTCAAATTGTCAAAAAATTGCATTAGTTTTTATATCTAGTGAGTATGCAAATATATGGAGATAAGCTGAAAACTAGATCAAACAATCTTTCAAATCCATGAAATTGAAATGAGAAGGTTTCATGAATTTGTTTGGTACCTATTGGTAAGGCAACTATTGATGGGCTGCTTAAGTATTCCCTTCCATTAAAATGCACACACACACAAATGTAAAATAATCAAACAGACAAACAACATCCATCGGTACTACTGTACTGAAAGAATGAAATGCAAGATTCTTCTATTATTAAAATTTGAAAAATGAAAACACGTGAATTCCTAAAAATAATAAAGGGGGGAATTTTTTAAAGAGAAAGAAAGAAAAAAAAAAAGAAAATGAAAAAGAGAAAAGATAGCCAGTATATTGTCATGGCAAAAAGTAAAATAATTTATTTTAGTTACAGGTGTTCAAAAATGTCCCTGCTTGTGGAATACTGATGTTACTGTTTCTCATACAACAAAGGCATAGAAATGTGAATAGATCTCAATAAAATGTGGGGAAATTTTTCTCAAAAACTATTCTCGAAGGTCACTTGATGGAGCCTCTTGGCATCAGGCAACCATCTAATGGTCTATACTTTTGATTCAGAAATTACCTTCAAGATTTTGGTTGAGTGAATAAATGAAACAGTAAAACACACAGTAAAAAAGAAAAGACTCTGCCTTGTACCTGTCTGCCATCCTGATCTTTAATACCACTGCTCAGACGGATCAACTGGGAAGTTACCATTTTAGAAAATCATCTATATGTATTATTATTTTAATAAGAATAATGATAGTAAAACCCATTTATGTAACAAATGGGAATTCTGAAAAATAAGTTATTATGTAAAGCATGTCAAGAAAAGAGAGACAGAGGAAAATAAATTTTCCTACATCTGGAAGCCAATCTTTCAACTACAGAATTAGGGGCTCTCTGTAGGACCCAGTTCCAATTTGCTTAGGTCCCTCTCAGGAGAAATATTCATAAAAATTGAATAGAAGTTCCTGAGAGTAATTGCCATGGAGAAAGGGAGTCAAAGTTGAATTTTTAAATGCAGTTGAGGGTAATAACCCCTTCCCTTTTGGGTGAGGTTGGTAAGATGTACCTTTCCTTGAGCAGAGCCCCAGTGGAAACCAACCTATCTCTACACCTAGGCTATGTTCTCTCTTTCTGTTTAAACACTTTAGACTCTAAAGTTTAGAGGCAAAGGAGCAGACCCTAAGAGCTGCTATAAAAGACAGAATGCATATAAAATACTTAGCTCCATACCTGGCTCAGGATAAGCGATGAGTGAAATACTACTGACCACTAGTTTGTTGCTCCAACTTCTCATGGACCTGGCTGGGATTATGACTTGAACATTTGAGCATCATATCTGAGCTGGTCCTTGTATTAGTATTCTATTGCTGCCATAACAAATTTAGTAGCTTAAACAACATCCATGTATTATCTCACAGTTCTGCAGGTCAAAAGTTTAGTATACTGAACTTTGTGTCCCCCAAGGCCATATTTAGGATATTGGCAGGACTGCATTCCTTTCTGAAGTCTTCAGGATGAATTTGCATCCAATCTCACTTTTTTTTTTTTCCTGAATTCAGTTTCATGTGACTGTAGGGCTGAGGTCCCCATTCCCTTGCTTGTTGTAGACTGGGGGTCATGCTCAGCTTCTAGGACTTATGGCTCCCTTCATCTTCAAAGCCAGCAACCTAGATTGTGTCCCTAGATTGTGTCAAAGAAGCTCTCCTTCCTTCTCTTCTACTGCATCTCTCTGATTCCAGCCAAAGAAAGTTCTCTGCTTTTTAAAGGTTTATAGTATTAGATTGGCCCCACTCCGATAATCTCCCCACTTTAAGACCTATAACCTTGATCACATCTGCAAAGTCCTTTGCCATATTCACATGTTCAGGATTAGGGTATGGACATCTTTGGGAGGTGAATCATCCTACCACACTCCTTTGTAAGGCCTAAGTTTTAGTTGCAGAAGGTGGGAGAATATGGAATAAGAAATACTAACTTGGAATACTGATGCTATCACTGAAAGATTTCTTCTCTCACAGGAAGCAAGCTAGACTATTATTTATCTTGTTTCAGAGTTAGTGTAGAAATGCAGAGGGTTCCATGTCTGCTCTGTAGGCTGGACATCAGGTTTTGATGGAAAATTGTCAGTATGGCCTCGTTTATGTGATGTGATTATGTAACATTATGAATCTTAACCTGATTTTGGTCTTTTTTTTGTTAAAGTTGAAGCAGGAAAATACCTTATTTTGATATGCAATGAAATATATACTTTACTACATGTACAGGATGAGACAAACATAGGTTTACAGTTGTTCATGTAAAGTGATTAACTACCCGAAAACAATACAATAATTAATACTCCATAAATAATAATACATAATAAACTCTGTATTTCATGTACTCATCACTGTAAACCCACACTGTATTTTAAATATGATTGTGTACTATGTACTACCTTTGATATATTTACCTGCTATGCTAGTGCTTCTAAATATGGCCAGCATTTGCCTCATGCACCAATCTCCCTTGAGTTCCATGGAACAGCATTTAGGCACTAGAAAGTCTTGGATACCCAGTGCCTGATGATGCTCAGTGACACCAATGTGAACTCCTGTAATAAAGGAAAGCAGCTCATTTCCCCC